AAATAACTTGCTTTGGTTTTAACATAATATTAGAATATAAGCTATTTCTAATAGCGAAATGTAAGCAAGCAAAGAAAATCATACATTTAGATCCTCTTTCCATTTTATCTGCTATATTTGCGTCGAAGCAAGCTACCAAAATTTGCGTTCTTCACCCCTTCGAAACGACGATACACGCTGTTTTCAACCGGAAGTCGATTTTTGCACCACTGGTGTTCTACCCATCCCCCCCCCCAAGGTGGAGAGTAAGTAAAAGTGTCACGTGACCAGCCTGAACCAGGGTCTTCGCCGCAGCCCAGCGTAGGTAGAAGACCCTGGCTTGCGAGGTTGTAGCAATAGCTGTAAATTTTTTGGGGTCATGCTAATAAAGCTCATTTAAAGTAAAGTAAATTATAGTCATTAGATGAGTACAAAATATAGTATAAGTCATTGGTAAAGACAATTAAAATTTGAAAAACGTAATCTATGGCCTGACATGATTTATTCCAAAATGGCTGGCATTACATTGAAATAGTTGCTTCTTTTTTTCTTATTTCTTAGCTGTTGTTCTTCTGTCAGATTAAATGAATAGGTGGTACTCCTTCCAAAACCTGGAGAGAAAAAGCAGACAGTATTGTTGAGTGGCATGAGCAGAAAATCACATCGCGTGAAATTAAATAGTTTTTTCATCATGCTGAAAAGTAAAAAAATAAATACAATAAAATTGCATAGTTTTGTTCCATTGCTGATTTCAGAAGAGATTCATAATTGCTCGTCTCATAAACTGCTACAAATGTTATCATATTTACACGCTAACTAGAAATACATGCATGCAGCAACCCCTCGCCTATATTTTCTAAACGTCGAATTAACATGAAGTATTTAGAAATGGCCAATACTGAACGCAGGCTCGTTCAAGTGTTGCCATGACAACACGATATTTTTAAATTTTCTATTTTTTAATATTTTTACAAATGTTATCATATTTACACGCTAACTAGAAATACATGCATGCAGCAACCCCTCGCCTATATTTTCTAAACATCGAATTAACATGAAGTATTTAGAAATGGCCAATACTGAACGCAGGCTCGTTCAAGTGTTGCCATGACAACACGATATTTTTAAATTTTCTATTTTTTAATATTTTTACAAATGTTATCATATTTACACGCTAACTAGAAATACATGCATGCAGCAACCCCTCGCCTATATTTTCTAAACATCGAATTAACATGAAGTATTTAGAAATGGCCAATACTGAACGCAGGCTCGTTCAAGTGTTGCCATGACAACACGATATTTTTAAATTTTCTATTTTTTAATATTTTTACAAATGTTATCATATTTACACGCTAACTAGAAATACATGCATGCAGCAACCCCTCGCCTATATTTTCTAAACATCGAATTAACATGAAGTATTTAGAAATGGCCAATACTGAACGCAGGCTCGTTCAAGTGTTGCCATGACAACACGATATTTTTAAATTTTCTATTTTTTAATATTTTTACAAATGTTATCATATTTACACGCTAACTAGAAATACATGCATGCAGCAACCCCTCGCCTATATTTTCTAAACATCGAATTAACATGAAGTATTTAGAAATGGCCAATACTGAACGCAGGCTCGTTCAAGTGTTGCCATGACAACACGATATTTTTAAATTTTCTATTTTTTAATATTTTTTTTGTACAAAACGGCAAAATAGTTAAAAGATTAGGACTTTTAGCTATACAACAATACATTTTCGAAATAAGTGTAGGTATGTTATTATGCTTTTTGTTTGTTTTGTTTTAATGTAAAATTTAACTTGAAACGCTTCGTAAAATCATTTGAAATGTTCTGCATTCAACTATTAAAACTACATTTGCCGTAAACGTAATAAGTTCAAATTGTTCGGTAATTTCAGTTCCGACTTCAAATCAATTTGTCTTCCTTTACATTTAAACTTTTTTTCTTAATGAAACAGGATAATTCAGTTAGGAATTAAACGTACAGCTCCGTTGGAACGAAAAATAGTTCATGTTTTAGGCCATGTTTTAAAATTTACGCAAAAGTTAAAGCAACAAAATTCATAAACATTGTCACAATAATTCAAAGGAAATTTGCTCCATTTTTCACGATTTCCCATAGTCCATAAATTTTTCTTATTTCTTCAAACATTAATTGCTTCAAAGCTCATTGTGTGAAACGTGATTTTCCATATATATGTTTTTGGAAAATTAAAATCTTGCTTATCTCACTCCTGGCAAACAGCCATATTTTTTAGATCAGTGAGGTCCACCCATGAACCACAGTCACGCGCCCGCGGTACTTGATGAACTTTAGACTTCGCTAGTGCTTTCCTTTCCCCGGGTGTAAATAGCCGGGGGAATTAGTACATTCGCCCCGGGCTTACGCCAGGAACGGCGCTCCGCGCCGTTGGCTCGCGGAATATTGACGGCTCGAGCATTTCATTACATCCCATAATATTCTATAGTTCCAGACACTGCAAATTGAGAGGGATTCAACTACTTTAAATTAACAAGTAAAACATCGACTAACTTTCTGACGAAATGCCTTTGCTCGAAACGTCAAAGCATTTGCATTTTCAGGTACATGAATCCCTCTACGTCCGCAGTTTCTGGTGTTATTATCACCAGGGCCGTCCCCAGGAAATTTTTCAGGGGGGTGTAAAGTCATTTTAACCGACTGACAAACGAGCTTGTACCGACCACCTGCTAGCCAGGGAAGCTTGTGGAATTTCCGATGGAGGTCGACTACGGAGCAATTTTTAGATTAAGGGGGCTATAGCGAACGTCGAAGGAGTGAGTTTGTTAGGGGGTCGGGGGAATGCTCCCCGGGAAATTTGAAATTTGAGACCTCCCAAAGGCCCGGAAATGCAATCAAATTTACTAGTTGGTGTTAAAAAGTTTCTTAATAGACGACT